CTAGAGTACACTTCTACATCACCGCAACAAAGTGGGAAGTTGAACTTGATTTTCAGGGGGTGTTAAGTTACTCTTAACATTTTGATAACATTTTCCCAACTGAGGTAGTGAGTATGAGCCACAGTCTGCGATAAGAACACAGGGAGACAAATGTTTTCCTACATCACTGGAATGGTGAGGGTTAAACAGTGCATTCATTTTTCGTCTCACCGTTCAGATGAAGCAAGCGACAACTTGGGGGCAGTGCTTACAACAAGTTAATTACCCGAGCTTGATAAACGAGTAAAAGATAGTCTATAAAACATAATTCATAAGTTGAACTGATTCTTTAAAAAAGGTCACATTTTATAAAACAGTTTGTAAAAAGTTGAAACTGCTAATATCATTTCACAGGGAACTGCATTCTAAAGCCTTTCTATATTTCTTATCTTTTTTATCATTATAGTAATGTACCATTTCATGACGCAACATAAAATACATTTTTATGCACCCCCGAGACCAGCAAAGAGCAGATAAAGGAATTAAGAAATAAAATAATTAAGCAATAAAGACTTAAAAAATAAAGAGCTATGCTCTTTATTTGAGATTTTGCACCATAGAAGGTCAATGACGCATATGATTAAAATTGAATAAGTACTCACTAAGGAAAGCCCAGTAAGGAGGATTTTGGTTGGCAATTATTACGAATGCTGACAACTGATATGTACATCAACTGCTGAGTTCTCTGCAATACGGCAACGGAGCACTTCTGGAAACAATTTGTGAAAACAAACATATAAAAACATCCACAAAATTACCCTATTTACATTTAGAACAAGTAAATTAATAGATGAATCTTATATAGTGAGTTGAATTAGCGTGTCATAATATCAAGCGCTATTTATCATAAATAGGCACCTTTCTACAGGATACGAGTCTTATCTTTTAGTTTGAAACACTTTGGAAACATCTTAACTTTCTTCAGTAACTGATGAGACTTTGACACGCACAGGCAGAGGGGAATAAAAACACATAGTGGCGAGTGAATATTGAAGGAGATGAAGCCAATATGAGAAACTGTGGAGTCCAAACTGAGATGTGTCATTTGTCAGTGTCCTGATAAGGACATAATAAGCTATTAGTACAAGGTTGGTTATGTAACAACCGGGACCAGGTGGTCAGATCTGATGGGAAGCGCCACAGGTGCCAGCACTGGGAGGAGTCAGTAGTCCCGCCCAGTGGCAGTTGATTGACAGCTCTTGGGGTGGCCTTCGTGTGTTCCCTCATAATCCTCATCTGGAAAATATCAGTCACAGAACGGAGCAGAAAATATTAGTCTGTATTTCCACACAGCATAAGCCATATACAACATATGATTACACATATAAATGAATAGAGGGACAGAGATAGAGACAGAAACAGAGGTAGCATCAATTCCTGCTCACTGTGTCTACTCTCATGCCAATAATGAGAACAGAAAGTATTCGTGGCCACAGAGAGAATATGTGGTTTGGTTTTATCTGTCAAACACAAAATAAACCAACCACAGGTGGTGTGTTATGGACATGCGACCTAAATAAATATACCCACTCGGTCTGCTGATATAGCACGCGTTTCCTCCATCATGTTGCAGAACAAGTCTTGTTTCAAAGCAGCCCTGAGAATGAGTTCCCTTTTAGTTCACATTACTATTGTTTGTAATACGTTAGGTAGAACCACAAATCGACCAGATGAGCCATAACAATAAATCGTTCTCTTTAAATTTGAATACTTGGAAATAGATCAAAATTGACTGACGATGATAAACACACTGTAACTTATTAAAAGACGGGCCATGAGCAGTTTTGCTGTAACAACCACTCAAGAATAAATCAAAGCCCAATCAGGCAACATATCCATGAAAATGTAACTCATCAATTCTTTACACTCCTGAGCCCTAAACCTAGGAGTTTTAATACAGTAAAAGGAAATTTGTAACAAATCACCTGACTGTAACTAGTTGAATCTCGTTCAATCCTTTAAATCACACGTGTCAAACTCACGGCCCGCGGACCGAATCTGGCCCGCCACGTCATTTTATGTGGCCCGCGAATCCGCCAGCAAAAAAATTTTGGAAAAAAATTTAAAAGTTAGACTTGAAAATAAAAGTATCCTCACGGTCGAAATTATGAGATAGAAAGTTGAAATTATGATATAGCATGTTGTCTGTGTACCGACATTAAAACTATCACAACAGGTGGACAGGAGAGGGAAAAGCCCGTAAAGAGGTTTTCCAACAAGTGATTGAGTTGAAAAAGATCCAAATAATCCCAAAATGTCCACGAAGAGAAAAATTGATGCAGAGGGAAGAAAATGTAATGAAAGATGGGAAAGCGAATACATGTTTGTGCTTCAAGGAGAAAAAACGGGTCTGTCTTCTGTGCTATGATGCGTGTCGGTGATGAAGGATACAATTCACGTCGGCATTTTGACACCAAACACGGAGCTAAGTATGATCCAAGAAAAACATCAAATTGTCCAAGAATTAAGAGGCAGACTGCAATCACAGCAGAATATATTTACAGAAGCTACAGCTCAGTGCATGCTAAAGGTATGTGAGCAGGTGAGCTCCGACCAGATACAGACTTCAAATGAACTGACATGGACTACAAATGTCAGTTTGTGAAGAAACACCATCGGAACTAGCAGCAATCTCAGAACACAGCTAGCTAAGAGACGAGCAGGTACTCGTCTTCTTCATTAGCTTTTGATGAAGGCACAGACAACACGGACACAGTGCATCTATCCATGTTTATAAGACCTGACTCTCAGTGAGGAGCTCTTGGATGTAGCTGCCATGCACGGGACGACGACATTAGTGATGCAGAGAGGTGACAAAAATAGCTTTGAACAAAGTTAATGTCATAACTTGTGTTTGATATTTGTCTTTGTTATTTTCTTTAATTGTTTGATCTTTGATAGAGTAATGTGGGTTTCTTAACCCTAAATTAAAATGATTTATGTTATAATAACAGAAATGTGCTTAAATATCATTTTACATTTATATAACTGCATGTACAATATTTTAACACTTGAATAAACAATAATCTAATGCAGAGACAGTTATTTAACAATATGTTAGGGAGTAGTTACAGTTATACAGTCTTACAGTTACAACCGGCCCTTTGAGGGCGACCGTGATGCTGATGTGGCCCGGAGTAAAAATGAGTTTGACACCCCTGCTTTAAATCATTTGTCTTTATTTAGCCGGAGATACAGATTAGAACAGAATAAAAAAAAAAAAAAAAAAAAAAAAAAAAAAAAAAAAAAATCGACCAATTTCAGTAGATTGACTGCAGCAGGTTCAGCTAAGGACACATCTCGAGTCAATTAGTGCAGGAGCTCTCACAAGTGTTCCAAAATATGCCTGTACCACTTGCTTATATGAGTGGGTTGTTCGTTACTTTTCTGAGATGCTGGTCTTTGTGTTGAGTAAGTGGGTGGAGAAGCAGTGATGGAGGGTGAAGGGTCAGTGCTACTCACTCGGAGTCTGAAGTGGCTTCTTTCTGGAGCTTGGCTCTGGCTGTGGCCGACCGGTTCAAATCTCCTCCTGGAGCAAGAGAGGGAGACGAAGAGATTAAGAAGCGAGTGAGACGGGTGGTACGGACAGGAGTTGGCTGAAGAGTGACAAAGTAAAGTGAAGAGACGCCGTGGGAGAAAAGGAAGAATAGCGGTATGTATATTGGGGGAAAAACAAAACGTAAGACAGTACGGAGACAGGAAGCAGAGGAGTGACAGAAGGGACGAAGAGTTCAAGGTTTCAGTCTTCTCTTACCTCTGAGGTAATCCACAAAGTACAGCATCACCACTGCCATCAGTGCAACTGCAAGAAATAATGGGGGGGGGAGACAATGAGGAAAAGCACTGACATTGTCACTCAAAAGGTGCCTAACAGGAGCTGGAAAGGCTGCTATCTCAAAAACACACACAGACAGACACACAGACAGACAGAAAATACTGACAGCAGATGCAGATGCAGAAAAAGACTTCCAAAACCAGGTATCCTCTTGTGTCTAGGATGGCTCCTGCTCCCATGGCAATGAGCGCCAGGCCCAAGTTCTGGATGGACTGCATGCTGGTGGACGAAGGCAGACGATCAACCAGAGCATTTAACAACACAACAATAATCAGTCATAACCGTGTTTGTTTTAAGCGGGACTGTGTAGGAGATCAGTCATAACATTGCCAGTAGAGGTACATACAAGCCATAGGCTGTCCCCAGCTGATGCTCGGGTACCACAAAGGCCACCATGGGCCAAAGGGCACAGGCCAGAAGGGAGTAGGAGACACCCAGCAGGGACTGGAAAACAAGAGAAAACACACAGGCGGACATTGCTTTAAACAACTCAAGGCTGTCCCGGAATTCCTGGGTACGACAGAAAAATACATTCATTCCATTCTCAAAGCAAAACCATGTGTTCAATTACAGATCTAACTCCCACTGCTATCCAGACAGATTTTAATATACTAGTACTTTTTAATTAAATAGAAATTAAATCAGTGTTTTCATTTATTTATATGCAAACTATTATGTCTACCAAGGAAGGCTGTAAGTACACTCTACATGAAAACAAGTTAGGTGTCTACACAGCGGAGGACAGAAAATTCACAACTATAAATTCACCTGTTTGTTTTTTAAAGGAACTTGTATCCACACCCACCATTAACCATTAACCTAACAGCCCCAGTGAACGTCCTGACATTACAATTCCCTCATCCCACAGCTGTTTCTAAATGTACAGATTTTGTTGGAGTATTCTGAGAGGGTTGCCGGGGGGCATTACCATGGCGATCCATGGGTTCCAGAAGGTGAAGGCCAGCATCATGTGAGCGGCGAGTGTGCCGACCACAGCAATCATTACCCAAATCACATTCTTCCCCGTCTTATCAACCATCAAGCCCAGAAGTGGAGATGCAGGGGCTGAGATGATGTACACAATGCTGGGAAAGACGGAGAAGGGCCGGTCATTTCTTAAGGACAGGAATGTATAAATCTAAACGTCATACCGTAAAATTAGCTGCTTAACGACCGAAATCAAACTTAAGAAAATGTATCTGAAAAAAGCCGGTCTTTGTGTGTTATTCAGTTCACTTCGTGTGGGATTTTAGTAGTCTTCTAACATGTTCCCAGTATCAGGTAGCTGAACATTTCTCAGCTCAAACACTGGAAAAATAATCTGACAAGTCATCCGTTAGAATAAGAAAATGCCCACAAAGGAAATGCATCAGCAGACTATAGTGGTGTCAGTGCCTTAAGGTAGATTGGTCTTAATGGACTGCGAGTTACCTGTTAACAGCTCTGGCTCCAGCTGGGGAGAAGTTGAATTTTTCAATGAAGAACACCCTGTAATAAAAGACAAGGTCACTGTACAGAGGGCTGCTCAGGCGTCATACCGATGTGACCACAACAGCAGGAGGAATCGAGTGGACTCCTGGAGCAGGTCGCTCTCGGTCTTCCATACATTGTTTTTCTGCCCAATTTGCATAACAAGTGTTTGCTCTGTAAGCCCTCAGTGGACAAACCATGTCAGCCGCTAAGTGATTTGAGAGTGCCTTTCAGAGAAGGAAATGCAGGTTGTGATGGCTTCAATCGGTTTCTTTCACTGCAAACCCATTTGTCAGACCTCTTTCCATGTCTGACTCCCTCCCCCTCTCTTGGTGGTTCGATGACAACGCAGCATTGTGAGTATTTCCGCAGACACAGGCATCGTGCTGATTTAATGGCGGTTCTCCATTTCATCCATACCACACAATTTAAGCATGACACCATCTTGAGGTGAATACATTTTTTTCTTGACTCAATGACAAGTAATTGTCAAGATATTTTCATCAAGCAGCACTAAACCAAAAATTGTGTTCCATCGTTTTATAATACAAAGCCCCTATTTTCAGAATTAGTATGTGATTAAAACATATCTCAGTTTTCTCTGTCAGAGTAAAGGTTTGTAGAGAAGCTACGATTACCGCCTCATGGTTGTATCCCTCCGCCAAACACCGATGTTTGTATCCATGTCTGTCCAAAATGTCATCGCTTCATCCCATCAGACATTTGAGTTATGGCCAAAAACATGTTTTGTGAGCTCACAGTGACCAACACATTCTAATCACGTTATCCTTTAGTCCAGGTGGGCTCTGCCAAATTTAAAGAAATTCCAATGTTCTGGGTGTATTACTTAAGTGATGTAAAGATGTGTGAGGACCACTAGAGGGACGTGAGTGTGTGTGTGTGTGTGTGTGTGTGTGTGTGTGGTGGCCCTGATGCAATACTCACTGTCCCAGTCCGATAAAGGGGAAAATAGCAACATAGTAGCACACGCAAATGATGAAGATGAGCCACAGGTGGAAGGGGAAGTCTTTCACGTCTGTCAGCTTGATCACCTCACCTAATATGCAAGATGAACACACGTGCAGATCAGCTTGTGAGCATTGTTTGCTCTCAACAACTGTAAAAGTAGAAGAAGAAGAAGAAGAGTGGCTTCTCTGACAAAATGAGTTCTAAGGGGGCATTATTAATAACAGTGGGCCTCATGCAACAACCCTCTCTTATAGTTTCTTTACATTTTCTGTAAAGGGAAAACAAGAGAAGTCAACTCAAGATGCAGCCAATATTCTTAAGCATCCCAGCAGATCTTCCCATTAGAGGGAGACACACTCTACCTCTGAGGCGCAAGATCCTCCCACGATTTTTATAGTCTTAATTGGGATTAACAGGCACATAGTATTTCTTTAGCAAATTAATTGAATTACTATAATTACTCAAAACTAAAGATTCAATTTTTTTTACGTTACTCAATTTTAAAACTCATGTTCCCTGGCATTGGACAAACTGTTTGTAGTCTGTGAAGACAAGATGTTGAAATGTCTTGCCAGCATGGCAGTTTTAGGTACATAAAAACAAGAGTTACATACACCGTAGAGTATGTCATGGTCCACACTGATTAAAGCATTCTTTAGTTATTGACAGACGAGGCCAAAGAGGGAAAACAAGAGATAAGAAAGACAATCTTAGAATGCATTACTTGTTTCGCCTTTTTCTTTGTGGAGGATTCTCTCTGCTCTTTTGTCAAGGAATCCCAACACCAAAGCACATATGAGTGAAAACAGGCAGGTCACACCAGCTAAGGAGGAAGAAAAGAAAGAAATGAAATACATATTGAAGAGACTTATACTCTGTGATTCGATTATCAAGGAGTTCAAATTAGGATGCCTGACGACTGCCGATTGATTCTATTGTTCATATGAATCTCAAATGTCACATTGCCGGCTGCGGTGGAGACACTTTAAAAAGAAAGCGCAGAACTGCATACTGTGCAAAAGCGGAAGCACTTTTAGCACAGCTAAGATGTCCCTCCAGAGAAAACTATAGTGACACTTCTTCTAACTCATGTGACTCATCTGCAGCAGCACTTTTAGTTCTCCATACCACTTCTCTCTTATCTCTGCTGGCCGTGTTACCTGAGATCATTAGTTACAGAGACGGGATCTAGTATCTCTAGCGGAGACAAGAGACGAAGCACACGTAACCCGAGTCTTCATGTTCAACACTTGCCAATTTAAAGTCTTCCCCTTCGAGTGATGCGCGTACCTCTGGCTAAAAGCAAAAGCGTACGATATTCACCTATCATGAGCGAAATGCCTAGCGTGGTGTATCCAGGAGAGCCGACGAGGTCTGCCACTTTGGTGTACACCCAGCCCATGATGTTCATGTTCACTGTGCTGCCCTTGAGACGAGAGAGGAGGGGGGGGATGCACTCGACGCATTAATGACATGGGATTTTGTAAAGCAGGGCTCCTTCACTACAGTACAAAAAAAAAAAAAAAGCATTAATATGCTATTTGAATGCATGTTTAACGTTATGCTGCATTGGTAGTGTCCTTACCAGGCGAGCCATGCTCAGCTGAAGGCCAAACACCAGATTGAGCTCTTTTCCTTTAAACCAGTTGACTGCATAGGTGTTCTGGGCCACGGCCAAGGACTCTCCTCCAATACTGCCCAGGAAAAGAAAACAGGGAGCGTAAGATACTTGATAGTACGAGGCCAACCTGAGGCTAAGATTTTCTTTTCTCTGTAGAAGGTCCTCGACTCATTTAGGGACACACTCGGCTGACTTTTGGACATTTAAGTTCAGATTTTCTGAGACTGCTCTGGTGAAAGATACCGGATGGCATCATACGCAAGGGCGCAGAAAACTAGCCCCTGGTATGTAAAGTTGTTAGATTATGTTGGGAAATGAATAGCTTTTAACACAATGTTAAAATGACTTGCTCACCCAAACACGAAACGTCCAGCTTCCATCAGCCAGAAACGATTCAGTAAAGCTCCAGTAGCAAATATTACCTGTGCAGAGTAGAGGGAAAGTTCAAATACAACAAAGGAAATGATCCAGTTGTCATCCCTTTTCTGTACCGATCGATTTCTATTTAGATAGATAATAAATAATAATGTTTATTGAATAATAATCAGGATTTCAGACTGAACCTACCTGTCCAACACAGACGAAGAGTGAAAAGATGATGGTCCCCAGCCTATAAAAAAACAAATTAAAGATGATGACCACAAAAGCTACACAACTCTTTCACTTTCACTTATGCTGAATATACTTAAGTCAAAATGAACGTGACTTTTTGTTCTTCGTACCTGATGCCAAAAACTCTGTCGAGCAGGAATCCCCCAAAGAAGCAGAGCACCACATTGGGCCACGAGTACCAGGAGTACAGCTGCATGAACTTTGCAGTGTTCAGGTTCAGGTCCTAGTAAATCCAGGGAGGGAAACTCATCAGATTCTTGTCATTTCAACCATTACAATCTAGTTCTGAAACACGTGTGTGTGTGTGTGTGTGTGTGTGTGTGTGTGTGTGTGTGTGTGTGTGTGTGTGTGTGGACAAATAAACCCCTCTAATGGCAGCAGGTTCATTTGACTGTTCTGGTTGGATTAGTATGCAGATTTCACTCTTCGCACAGTTGTGCATAGTTATGTTGAATTTATGGTGAAAGATAAACGTTGCGTCTACAGACGATGAACTACCTGGGTGACTTCAGATTGAAGAGCAGCCGGGTTGTCATAACAGAAGTAGCTTCCTGGAACAAATGAACTATAATTAAAAACAGACGACATAAACAATGCTACTGCATTTACATAACTTCACGTGCTGAGCAACGACACTGAACGCTTTCTTTGAACTGAATGCACTTTGCAGAACTTATTCACACATCTCCACAATAACTAGTCAGCTTGGGGGGAAGTTAAGGGCTCATTACTGCTCACCGAATCCCAGGAGGCACATGAACATCAGGACAACCACTCGGTGCAGTATGTGGCTGGGGTCGCAGATGGCCGGCATCGGTCTGCCGGGTCCTCCGACTGTACGTCCGTCCGCGGACAACCCCTCGTCGCCATCTCCCAGCAGGCTCTGCCGCTCTTCATAATCCGCCATGATCGTTTGTTTGGGATTCGCTGGGGGGAAAAAAGTTGTCGACCGGAGTGTGCAGGATGTAGATCGATCACATGATCCGGCAGGAATGTCACGTGGATGTTAGCCGTGTAGCTTGTAGCATCAACAGTCAGCTGTTTTGGGTGGGCGCGTGCCTGCCGACACGTTCAAACCATAGGCACAATCTCCACATTTACGGAGTTTGAAGCGCGCTCCCGTAAAATCCGTGAGAGTTTTAGGATTGTCCCGCTGTCAAGTCATCGAGTGTTTGACGGTTCTCTCGCAGATATGCGAGTCCTTCATAAACCCTTTCCGTAAGAACACGTCTGCAGACTTTGTCCAGGGGAATTATCCACAATTCGTTGCATTGTGACGTTAAACACGGGGTTACCAGTGGAAGCATGGAGACGTAAACAAAGAGGACGGCACATGGGTGTTACATTTACTCAGAAACATTAACATTAAGGATTAAAGATGGAACATAAAAGCTTGAAATCAGAGGAACGGAAGCCGAGACTATACATAACAGATTTATTAATCAAACATTTAATTTAGTCATTGAAGACTATTTAAAATTACCTCTCATTTTGTGAGGAAAGAGCCTGGAAGAAGTTCAAATCAGGGAGTGAAAAGTATAAAATAAATACCCACAATTGTACACATATTTTAACGTTGTCACGGTACGCGATATGTTGCAGCAAAGGGCTGTCCCATTTGTATTTACACCATTTCAAGCCCTTTCAGTCTCTCACACTCAACCATTTACCAGGTGACACCAGTAAATCCCTGAGGATTCAGGGTTTATGGCTTTAGGGGAGACATTGTAATTGGACTGTAGACTGTAGACAGGCGGTTAGTCGTATCTTATGTCATGTACATTGAAAGGGTTATGGTGCATTTCTTGCACAGGCGCATTGCATTTACCAGGAAAGTTAGTTTTAAAAATGACTTATCAGTATATTGTAGATTAGACTATATCGTATTATGATGAAGTACAAGGTAAAAGTACCTTTATCTCCTAATTCTGAGAAAAGTTTCTCAAAAAGGTTCATTTTTTACTTTTTTGTAAACGATTACACATTACCTTTGGGACAGAGAAAAGGGGATTTAGAAACATGAACAAAGTTTGATAAAGCCATCAGGTGCTGGCCAAAAATGAACAAACTGTTTATTTTATTTTAAAGCACAAAGGAAGAATTTTTTCTGTCACCAACTTTGGTTACGTGTAATAAAATGAAATAAAAACCCACAGAGATGTTACCCAAAATGAAATGTGTATATATATATATACCCCCCCCCAGTGGCCAAAATTGATTATTGCATATTGGCCATAGACATGGCTGGTTTTTCTGTCCTCTTTGCCTTAAGAATGTAAAAGTCTTGCATGTTGTTGAGTTCTAGCTCTGTTTCTGAGTTAAACAATAAATATGTCTGCGATGACACAAAACCAACATTCCCCATTTCAAAGTCGTTGAGTAGAGTAAATCAAGCCTTTTCAATTTCATTATTTTCACTCACTGGAAGTTTGAACAATTGAACAATGTGTTAAAAAAAAGTCCAAGCTTTAATAAGCTGCCTATAAGCAATTTCTCTGGGGCTTCGAGCCAAGACACACTACAGTTTATGAACTTCTGCTGATTGGCAGCACCGGCATAGACATGACAGGTTTGACATGAAAACTGTACCACCTTGTTTCATCAAGACTCACTAAACTGTCAGCCCCCACCTACCTGCCCCTATTTGTCTGGCTCTTTTCGGTCCCCAACTTGTGTCTGTGCATACTGGAAGGCAACATTATCTGCAGGGTTTACTTAATTTCCATGAATGTCATTTAGAATTTCGCATAATTCACCACTGCGAGGTCATCTGTCAGAGGATTTAATCTAAGGGTGACAAACGGTCCTTTCTCTGGCTGCAGTCGCCTCTCCGACCGCTCTGTAGCTCATTAATTTCCTGCCCAAATATCAGATAATGTCGAAGCCGACAGAGGGTGGGATGGAAGAAGATCATATTTCATTATTACATTAATCAGACCCGCATGCAGACACAATTGTAAATCAGGTGGGAGGTGACATTAATCCTGCAGAACCAGTTTGTGAATGTCCTGAAACCTGTCTTCTGGGCGTTGCAGTATTAGAAAAAGTCAATTTATTCTTTTCTCCTCTTGTTCAATTCAAAAATGAATGATGCAGTGATGCTACTGTGATACTGTGAAAGATTATGCCCTACTTGCAAATGCTTGCAGTTTTGCTCGGCAATGATATATTTGGTTTCCTCAAACACCACATCTGAACCAGAGCAATGTAAGTCTGCATGCAGTTCCTGTTAGTCAGCAGCTGAATAATTATCAAAAGTGCCTGAGATACTGATCAACACCAGTGGTGCAAAAAGATAAACATCTGCATTCAGTGCATATAATAAGGTCAGCAACCACAAACAGCCCCCATTTTAAACAAACCAATGAACTATGCTTTCGTTCCTTCTGCTGGTATTCAACATCCGTTTGAGCGTGTTATGGTCTATATGTTCCATATCATCAACGTCTGTGTCGGCACTACTGGGGAAGAACTGGGTGGTTTTAGCCTTCCTTTCTTAATTTGCTACCTTTGTTGCACAGCCATCTTAGCCTGGCTAAGACTTTGTCTTTGTTTTGGTTGTAATCAGAAATACCACATGTTTTAGACTCATGTCCTTCCCCCTTAAAATACATTTTGAACCTCCTAACATGAAAGTTGAACACCATGCAATTGAAAAATATAAATTTTATTAATATTGTTATTTTTTATTGCTCAGAAGTTATAGCTGTCAGCAGAGTCTATTGCGGGCCTCATTTTGTTATCACTCGGTCCCTGGTCACATTTTGCGTGTGCTGTAATCATTGGAGAACATATGCTGTTAAGATGTTTACGCTTTTGACAAAGTTTTGTAAAGGGAAAGTGCAGTTTGAATGAGATTAGCGAAGAGACGGAAGTAGAAAATGACAGTAAGCACAATTAAGGAAACATGTTGGATGACTTAGCAAACATGGGTCAGAAGCGTGGTTAGTCGACGCCCTGTAACAAAAACTCTTTTCTGTCACATTCAGCAGATTTTGATCCCCTTGCATTGTATTAGAATTTTTACAACTACTGTCATCGTGATAAATGCTTTTTTTATAAAAAGTAAAATAACCTTTCAGGCAGTGTCTCATCATGCCTTGACAGTTAACAGTTATTGATTTCCTATTGGAAATTGTCCAGTGTGTTCCTGTGGCATCCCGTTATATGACAGCCTGTTACTTAGAGGGATCTGTGACATTTCCTGTTGAGTTAATGTCGCTGTGGTGGACTCCGTGGCACCTATGTGGACTTGCTTTCGGCAGATTGCGGCTGTCAGTCTTTTCCTGAACACCTTACACAGGAACACGTAGATAAGCGGGTCCAGACACACGTTAGTGGCCGACAGCCACAGGGTGGTTTCCTTTGCGATGTAGAGAGCGTTCTGTGCCTGGCAATGACTCGCCGAGCTGCGAGTTTGGGTCAGAGTGTAAGGAACGCGGGCAAAGTGAAAAGGGGCAAAGCAGATGAAAAACACCCCGACTACCACAAAGACCTTTGCTTTGGTTCTGCGACTGACTGCTTGAGAGCTGCTCTTGGAGGCTTTGTATGACTCATAAACCTTCCTGCTTATGAACGTGTAGCAAACCACCATCAAGGCCAGCGTGCCCCAGAAAACCACCTGTAAACACAAATGGTCACATGTTAGGCAAGACTCACAAAATTTCTCACGACTCATTTTTACCAGCTGTAGTTAAATGTCAAATCTGGCATTTTATTCATCATGTAGTATAGTGCAGTGTATTTAAATTCAGTGTAATAGACAGTATGCGACACATTCTTTCTAATGAGGAGATTTCCCAGAATTTAAAAACAATTTCTTTTTTTAATAGCTACCTGGCAGAAATAGTTGAAACCTTCATGCCAAAGCAAGCCGGCTTTGCTCTTCATGGAGGTGCACTTCAGTCTGCCTCCATAGATCTGTGGCGGCTGGTCACTTAGAATAACATTCGGTAATGCCAAAGATAACATGACTGCCCAGACAGTGGCACTCAGCACCTGACCAACACGAACCCGCTGCAGGGCACACTTCCCAAATGGCCTTACTATCTTCAAGTATCGGTCCAGGCTGATGAGGCCCAGCAGGAGGATGCTGATGTACATGGTGATGTAGAATAAAACTGCAGAGTATTGGCAGTGGAAGGCGCGTAGTCGCCAGGAGCCCACGCCTGCATCACTTAAGACTCTCAGAGGTATGGTCAGCGTCATCAGCAGGTCAGCCACCACCTGTTAATGAAGAAAGTTTTTTTTTGTTGCTCTGCACTGACAAATAAAGCAACCCCCCCCCCCCTAAGTCTTACCACATTTTTCAGAAAGACCACAAATGTTGAGGAGCTGGGGATGCTGAAGAAGATCCATGCAGCCAGGGAATTCAGTATCAGGGCAACTATAAAGAGGATGCTGTATAGACAGGGGAACACCACAGCTGTCACACTGGTATCCCGAACACACTTGATAGAAGTGTTTGACAGGCTGTTGTTCATCTTCTGATCTTCAGTGGACCTTCGGGGGGTGAGGAGGAGGAGTGATATTGAGAGTAAGGTTGATACATAGGAATAATGAAAAGAGGGAACAGTGTAACATGATGTTTCCAGATGTCTATGCAATTTCTTTCTATAGAAATTCCTCAAAAACAACTGTAGCTGACTTACTGTGTATGATTATGTGTTAATTTTTAATGTTTTCTTTCACAACTGGTTTAACAACATTATCTAAGTTTCTTTTTGCCTGAATTCAACAAGTAAACGTCACTTTCTGCCACTTTAAGAAGCATACAAATACTTATTTTTATACAAACGCTAGGTACTTAGTAACTTCTACATTTGACCACAGTTCATTCATAATGGTATGACTACTTATTCAGTTTTACAGTTAGAGATACTCTTAATATACAGTGATGAAGGCGCCTTTTAACTGACTAATTCTGAATTCTCCTCCTGTCTGACAGTATATCTGCCTTGTGTGCTGTCTTCACATTGAAAACTTTAACGGCTTAGAATAACACTGAGGCCAGGAGCAAGTGCCATGGCAACTGAGATATACAATGCTCTAAACTTTTGTCTGTTTTAATGCGCATGGTAATGTTAATTAGGTCTGTAACAACAAATGATATCTTTGTGCCCAGCTTAGAGTGGTAATCTATGTAGAAGATGTACTTGTAAGTCAGTTATTAAGTCTTACCTTCTTATTGTGTCCTTATCGTCTGTGACTGCCGGGCATGTGAAGAATTATGATTTAAGCAAAGAAAATCTACAGCATTTATAAAAAAAGTAAGAAGTGAAATATTCTTCTTTCCTCTTCTTATCAACAGGAAGAACATGTACCTCCAAAAAAGGAACTCCACAATTGCAAATCTCTTACAGTCACTTTCATTTTAAGTACTTCTGACTCAAAACGTTTTCCCTCGGTCTCTTTCTTTCTCTGTATTTCTGTCTCCCTGTGTGTATGTGTGATGCTCTTACAATGGGTGGTCTCTGCAGCTACTGTGTGGCTGTCTTGTCACAATCCCAATGAGTTTGCCAGTCTTCCTTCCTTTCTGAAAGACCCTTTCCTTCCTTGCTTCCTGTTCCAATTGTCTGCTCAGAGGCTTGTCCTGCTCCGTGCCAGTCCCCCTGCCTCCGCTAGCTTGCGTCAGTCTCAGTAGTAGTTGACAGGCGAACGCCAAAGCCATGGACTTATTTCTCGACAGACCTCCTGCACCTCACCACTCCACCCTCCCTCCTGCAGCTTATTTACCCCACCTCTATCTGTCTGTCTTTTCTCATCTTAGCAGCACTAACCACAGACACCGCAAAAAACAAAGAAAAGATGTGCATACAGTATCCCTTGAACTATTTTACCATGGCATAAATGCAAGCTATGCCATGACAGCAGAGTTATTAACAAAGTATTTGTGAAAAATGTAATTTTGTATGATTTTTATTTACTACTAAGACCACATGTCCATACATCAGAGTGTTTTTTGAGATTGCACATATTTTCTCTAGCAATGCAAAACACACTACGAGTACATAACAAGTGATTGAACATTCCATTCCACTTCAAATTGATAAAGTTTTGCTTTCTTTATTCCCCTTTTGTGCTGTTTTGATAAAAATAGTGCATTCTGAGAACTATTCAACATGATTTCCTGTGAGATTTTGCTTGGATCTGTGCCAAGAATTATGTCCGATGGGAAAAACATTAGCTGAGAAATGACATGCATGTGTTTACTACAGGTCCTCGAGTGAACTACCAGCTTCTCTGACCATAACTGTTGTTGTTTCATCAGACGTACACAGAAACCTGTGGTTTCTAGACCCACACAGGCTGTAAACTCAACTGTTTGCGCAAGGGGTTTCTCAACTGGCATTTACAAGAAGTGGCATTCAAATGGAAAATGTGTTGATCCTAAAATGTGTGTTTGAAATATGCAACACTGAACAGATAATACCTCTGTTTAGTGTTTAAATATATAAAGAGCAGACTTTACTTGTTTGTATGTCCCATTTTTACTATCACAACAAACAAATGACTTCAGTGTGAGATGCAAATGTTATCTAACTTAACTTTTCTTGCTTTGCATGGAAGCCTCATTTACAGTCTCCCTCCTAGAACTCTACTGTAAAACTGTGTTTTATTGACTAAAAACAGCATAATAACAGCATCCTCTTGTCTCATGCTGTTTATCTCATTCATCCTTATTGTGTTTCCTGTTAATGGTTTTCAAGCTATTTACAGCGACTCGTTGAGAAGACACGAAACAGCACAGAACAACTTCATGGTGATATACACTTCACAACACAAACACAAAAACAATACAACAATAATCTGACTTTTAGTCTACAAAATCAGTAACATCTGAGCTTAGGCCACGACAAAGCATCTTCATGACCTTTGTCGGACTCCACTCTGTGGCAAAATGCCTTCTACTTTGTCTGCGGAGGCTTCTTGGAACAAGACGGACACGTTTTTCATCATAGACATCAGTTTCTCCTTAAACTCCCGACACAGAAAGACGTAGAGAAGTGGGTCCATGCAGATGTTTGTGCAGGCAAGCCAGTGGCTGAGGTCTATGGCCAACCTGCTGCTTAAAATAGAGCAGCCAGTGTAGGAATAAGAGTTGACTTGTTGAAACGTGTATGGGATCCTAAAGATGTGATACGGTCCGAATGACCCAAAAAACAAGACGACAACTAGGAAAACACGTAGTTTGATCTTCCGCTTTCCCTGGTTGTTGCTGCTGCCAGATTTTCGAAAAGACTGGATAACCTTGTTTGCAATGCAAATGTAGCAAACCACAATAACCACACTGACAAACCAGAAGAAAACATTTAGATAAATAATTATCTTCTCATGGATTATAAGTCCAGCCGGTCCTTTCAGTTTCATACAAGAGATCTCCGTTATATTGGCCACTGATTTGTTACTGAGAATGATATTTGGTAAAGCTGTGCCTCCAAGCAGTATTACCCAGACTGAGCCTGATATCAGCTTGCTAAAGGTCAGATTCTGACCAAACAACTTGCTTTGGGGCATCATGATCTTGAAGAAACGGTCCAGACTGATTAAGCCCAGCAGAGCGATACATGTGTACTGTGTACTGTAGAAAATGGCACTGAGATAACATGAGAGTATGTGTATTGTGTTTGACACACCTGGCAAGTCTCTTGCAGCTTTGATTGGGATGATCAAGGTCATAATAATGTCAGCAGCTACTATATTTTTTAGGTACACCACAAAGTTGGAGGTGGTCTTGATGTGCAGAGAAACCCAGGCGGCAACACCATTCAGCAACAAAGCTATGGGGAACATCAAAAAGTAGAGAGCAGTGACAAAAGTTGGGTTGTAAATGAAGCCGTCAATGTCCGAGTCATTGTGAGATGTTTGATTCATTGGCGTCGCTGCACCTGAGGAGAATGAAAAGTTGGATTTTAGAAGCAACAGTTCATCCTGTTAAGAAACATCATCTTCATTATGCTTTTATATTTTATTATACTAACAAACAAGCAGTCCCGCTGAATATGTGTAATATCATTTGACAGTTGGGGATTTTAATAGTGTCCGATACATAGAAATAATTCCACAGCATATCATTGGGGTTAATTTGGTATTTTTTTTTCACTTCCTCCACTTACTCTGGTTACTGTCAAATGGAGGAACCATGCAGTCATCCATTATCTGTCACTTATTCCAGTCAAGGCTGCAGGCGAAGCAAAGCAAAGGAACAAGCTTGTTGTTTATGTACATAGAAGGATAAAAAAAGACATTTGTAGCATATTTCTATACAATATTTTCCATTATGTATATACATCGGTGTCACTAATTTTCCTACCAAAAAAGTAAATAATTGAATTAGTGTGAATACACATACATTTAATAAGGAGGGATTATGAGTTTCATTCTTCTGGCAGGACTGCTTTTGCTCTTTTTTAATTCTTTACTTTACAAGGTAGCGTGGATAAAGATGTAAGTAATTCAACTAATGAAACAATATATTTGACACCATGTAAACATGCTATGCTTGTCTTGTATCATTATACATTGTATTAGGTGTTTTTCTTTCAGAAAGTAATAATTATCATCGTGGTTATCTTTGTCATCACAAATTAATCTATCATTGATAAATACATTATTACTATATTATTAACTAATTATGTCAATAAAATGTCGATGATAACTTACAGTTGATGACTTGACTCTTCTCAAACACGAAGCTGCAACATGGACCTGTGTGACAATGTACTGAGATGGTAGGTGTTTAAGAAACGCTATTGAATTTTCCTAGCAAACACATCATCGTTTCAGCTGTGATAGAATTGCCAATTTACCAGGACATATGCAAAAACAGGAAAAACTACTGGTCTTTGGACAAAGGCAAAGCAGACATCATACAACACTGCTGCAGTGTAAACACGACTTAGAGCAGATTTGATTGGGTGCAGGTTCGTATTCAGGGGGCCCCATGCTTCCTTTGGCCCACACATAATTCTCAGACACACATCACCATCTCTGTCTCACCTTTAAGATGAAGCTGCAAGCATGTTTGTTTGTTTAATATTATTTTACAATCTTTTACCTGAACTCTCCTACATGTGTATCACTAGTCACCATCCTCTGACTCATTAAGCACAGCAAATGTCCCTGGTACTGACATGCCTTTGACTCTGAGCATCGTTTGGAGGGTTAAATACACATCCTTTGTTTCCCTACTCACCAACGTTGTGTTGTTTATTGCTGGCAGAGGAAAATACACTTATATAATAACTATGAGTGCAGGTGATGTTTCTTTGATTAAAAAAGCTAAGCGGACAGGTGATTTTCTCCCTTTTTGTGCTACTCATGTCTTCATGTTTGTTACTTAGGTAATTTAGCTTTTTGATTGCCTGGTTGACTGGTTGCTTGCTTGATGGATTGTACACTTTTCTGCAATAATTATAGAGCTGATTCTGTAGCAAGAGGTGCAGTGGCATCATCTAACCAAAGGAGGGCCTCAGCTGTTAAAGCCAACAAAACAGTCCCACAGGCCACACTGGAGCCTTTTCTCCAGTTAAACAAAGGGAGTGCAATAGCTGCCAAGAAGATTTATTGTATAGGGGGTGTGTTTCACTTCCTTTTCACTCAAACTAATTGAAAATCTTTGTTATATGGTAATAGTGACCGAAATTATTCTTGGAGTGTAGTCTAGAATATTGTGGTGGTGGGTGGTGCATTGGTAATATTTAATTTCACTTCTTAGCACTTGATATTTACAATACAACAATAAACATGTACCATATTTTATTAATTCAATGTAATGACATCATTTATTGAGACAATGAAAAACAGAATACAAGAAATTCATTCAAATAAAATTGTAACTGAGCAAAGCTCTTTTGTAAGGAATCTATTACATTTGGATTTACAAGAACCGAAGCGAAAAAGATTTATGTGACCATTTATTTCAGCCTGTGAAATATTAGGCCACAACTTTATAGGATGCAGGTATTGTTCTTTTGTGCAGCAGAAAAATAAACTTTCAGCTTAGTCCCCATTTCCATTCACTACTAATTGTTTAAGGTCAATACAAGTATTAATGATGATGGGAATGATCTACAAATTCTCATCTTTCCTCCGATAATATTTTATCATTTAAATTCCTTCTTAAAAACCCATAGTAGAGACGATTGGCTTAGGCTGTATCTGTGTTGACCCTTCACAGAAAAATTAATAAAAGGAAGACATCACACTCAAATCTACAACAATAACACCTCAATATGGAATTCAAACATAGTGAAAACTTGAAAGAAAGAATGTACTTAGATATCTACACGTATACAGTACACACTGCATGTGCATAAAAGACACACAGCTCTTACCAGTGAGATTTAACATTGTATATGTGTGTTCAAATTGTTAAACCCTTTTCATTTAGAATAGAATAATTCATTTGCTGATGTATCTTTGTATATATGGTTCTACCTTGTTTTATAGATGCTAATCCTCATTAGGCCACTAAAGGGCAGTACAACACAGAATTTAAAGATCAAAAGTTGGGCTACTCAGGTTCTCTTGCTGCCATAATATTAAACAACAGCCTAATTTGTGACTAAGGACATCTAATCTATCTCTAACTTCTAAAAGGTACTTATTTCTACTGTGAAACATCCTCATTTTCACCGGAATATAACCCAACACAGGCCCCTTTAGCTTTCATCATATCAACCAGTTTGTCTCTGTACTCCCTGCACAGGTAGATGTAAAGAAGAGGGTCCAGGCAGGTATTAGTGGTAGAGATCCACAGGACTAATTTATGGATTATCTTGACCCACAGTTGATTGCAGACATTAATGTCAAATATTTCATATAGTGTGACTGGAACACGCATCACGTGGAGGGGCACAAAACACACGAAAAACACAAGAAGGATCAGGAAGACTCGTAGCTTGGTCTTCTTCTTTCCGTCGCTGTTGTTGCTCCCAGAGTTTCTGAAGGACTGCAGGACCTTCAGGGTGATGCACATGTAGCAAAACACAATCACTATGCTGACGTGCCAGAACAGACTCTCCATAGATAACACCACAAACTTGTGAAAAGTCACACCGGCTGGACTTTTCAGGGACATACAGAAATCTCCTGTTACATTAACAGGATCCTGGTCTGTTAGAAGGAAAGTTGGGATGACTGTACCGCCAAATAACACCACCCAAACCGAGGAGGACATTACAAGACTGAAGACCACTTTTTGTCCCAACACCATTCCGTATGGTCTAACAATTTTGAAGAAGCGGTCAAGGCTGATAAGACCCATCAAAGTGATACTTGTGTACAAACAGCAGTAGAAAAGGACAGTGGAGTAACGGCAAGTGAACACCCTTAACTCAAGTGAGGCTCCAGGTAGCATGCTAGCTGCCATCGGCAGGAGTGTCAGCGTCATGAGCAGGTCAGCCGCCACCAGGTTTTTGAGATACACTATGAAGGTAGAGGTGGACCTGAGGTGCAAAGACACCCATGCGGCTACCCCGTTTAGTAGTAACGCAATGGGGAACAACAAGAGGTAGAGGCACGAGATGGCCAGATCTACGGTCGCATGGTTAGTAGAAGCACATTCAGAGGAGAATGGTTCTGTGTTTTTGGACACCATCATGCAATCTGAAATAAAAACAACAACATACAGTCATCAAAGAGAAACTCAATATGCTTTGTCCTTCTACTCCTGAACTGGTTTACACCTGTGAACAGCTCGTGGGACGGGAATAGCAGGCAGTTCTGTAAGCGCTGTAGACCGGACCCACATCTCCATTTTTTGCTTTTGATTTCTTAATTACATTTTAACAAATTTGAAAGTGAAACGTTCAGAATTTATCAAGAGTGCATTGGCATGAATTTAGTGATGCGAGAAAATAATGTCCAGTTTTAGGGAAGAGGGGTTTCTGAGTAAATGATGATGATGAGGTGAGGACCAGAGGGCTGAGATTTACTGGAATTGGCCCCTGACTCGTTTGAGACTACTGCAAAAGCTTCCTTCTTGCCCAGTTGGACCTGATTTGCATTTGTCATTATAGTTTAAAAGACAATTTGTTACAATGATTTGGTTTTGAATGCTCAACCTGAGGATTTGAATGCATTCTGGATGCAGAACCTGACTCCACTGTTGACACTGACTAAAGGAAGTTATGCAATTGTAGGATTTGTTTTCACCATGCCAAAAACAAAATCAAAAAAAATTGATTTTATTATTTTTTAGATCAAATTTACATATAGGCCTAGACAATAGCTACCAACATTTAGAGGGGTATGTAGTCACAGTCCCTTCTGTACAATAAATTTTAGTTGCTTCAAAGCTTCTTTAATGTGTCTGCTTCTTTTTGTTTTTTTATTTTGTAATTGTTTAAGAATTAATATTTGTAATCCTTAACCTTAAATGTGTATTTAGTGTGTACTGATTTTAATAGATCTGATAGAGAAAGATGGATTAAAGCTTTTCAGCAATACGCCTTTCTCTTAGGACAGTAACATTTTATGTGACTGTTATTTTACTCCTCTAATTATTACAAATACTACAAAACTGCTTAATTTGAAGATTTTTCTCCCCCTCAACATTTTCAGAAAGTTCACCCACAGTTGATTAAATCATATCAAAGTGATCACACAGACTATACTTCTAATCAATTAGAAAGCTTGATTTCTCCAATCACCTCTCAATTTAATCTTTAAAAAAATATAATCTTTGTGAAACAAAACATAATATTAATTCACTCACCAGCAATGTTTATGTCCGTCACTCCACACTGTGAAGCCTGGGAGATTAACACCTTACACAAGATATTTCACCAAAGTGTATCAGCCTTTTCAACCAGAAAGATGCAAATCCATGAACAATGAGCTGCTGTGGGGGGGGGGGGGCACAGAGGATTCAAATAACATAGGTTGCGGTAAGCTATGTGTTTTCAGGCTGAGGTATTGGTAACATCCACTGATGGTTACTTTATTTCTACTGGTCTCAACATTGAAAGATGTGATGAAAGCCCCCATTTTTTTTAAACAGTGAAATAGTGATCATTTAGTAGCGATGTAGCTCATGTTCGTTATCTTCTTTTACCTCATGCATGCCCACGGTGGATTTATACATTTGACAATAGCAAGCTCAAATATTAATGTAACAGTGCATTTGTCCTCCAAGTACTTTCCCTGCAAGAAGTAGATACTGTAAGTGAACTGAATCATATATTGTGGCTGAGTAAGCAATATGGGGTTTGATATTTGGCTTTGTGAAGAGCACCAACCTCATAATATGGCATAAATCATACACACAACAAATAATGAAAGTATTTCATCTTTACTTCCTTAATTGTTGCTTCTTTTATGCATTTCTGTAAAAGTGGTAGTTCCCAGTCTTTCAGCTGTGCGGTTGTAACAGGAGGCACACAACCCAGTCATTTGGAAAGCCCCCCATATTCCTTAGAAATACTTACTTACTTATATAGATGGAGATCATTGTTAGCAGCAAAACTAGAATACATCACAAATATCTGCAGACGTAACAGTTTCACACATTTGCCTGCTATATGATTATCCTGAAAAAGCAATGCCAACACAACTAAACAGCATGTACATGCAACAATAGAAGATCACCGTGTATTGACAGGAGATTATTTCTCAGACTTGTTATATAGGTAAACTATTTTAGAGGAAACGTGTGGCTGTCGATTCATTTTCAGTTAGTGAATTAATGCATCACATTTCTCCTTTTCAAGAGGTTGAAAACAGAAGAGGATCTTCATGTTGTTATTAAATGGAACAGAGAACTGAAAGAACAGCAAAGACAACATGCCAGCGTCGGTTCTTCAGCTTTGACACAGTTAAACCGACAGCCGCACATTATTTCGTCTTTGTGGCAATATTGTTGTCATCATTACAGAATGTGTGCATTCAGAAAAGTCTTCATCGTGTCCAGTGGTTTCATGCACAGACAGAAGAGTCGTTAAGAGCGGCGCTGCCTGTATCTGTGTCTGACCCTCTCCCTGTTAGCCTGCTACAGGAACCAGAAGGCAGCTGCAGGGTTTTGAACAGGGTGTCCCTGAATGACTTACAGAGGAAGAAGTAGATGAGAGGGTCCAGAAGAGAGTTTAAGGATGAGAGGAAGAGCGTACTTTCCTTCAGCTGAAAAAAGAAGAGTTTGAGTTGACAGTCAAAGGGAACCACTCGGGTCTGGCTCAGGGTGTACGGCACACGGGCAAAGTGAAATGGCACAAAGCAAACAAAGAACACAGCCAGAACCAGGAACACGTTTGCATTCATTTTTCTTTTGGCCTGGTGGGGTTTGCGAGTTGATGCCCCACCTGGTGCTCGACATATAGTCCCTCCACTGCTGCGGGCCTGAGTGCGGGCGTAGGATTTGTACAGCTCTTTGGTGATTAGAGTGTAGCATACTATCACAGTCACCAGGTTGCCCCAGAAAATAACTTGACAGACGTGATTTACCGCCTCATGCCAGTACAGCCCAGCCGCTGTCTTCAGGTCACTGCACCTGAAATATGAAGACGGTGGGGTCTTACGTGTCAGGATCACATTGGGCAGACAGAGAACCAGCAGGAAGGTCCATATGGCGCCTGAAAGGAGTTTGCGACGGGCCAAGCGGGCCGCATTAGTCCCCCTGAAGGGCTTGAGGGTCTTTCTGCAGCGATCTATGCTGATGAGGCCGAAGAAGAGGATGCTGATATACATGGTGAGGTAGAAGAGCACCGAGGAGACCCGGCACACGAATATACGCAGCCCAGTGGAAGCCATGTTGGAGTCTGATAACACCTGCCGAAACACAAGAGTTTTATGTAAAAGACTGAACACTAAGCACTAGAAAGTAAAGCAGAACAGTATATTTTATTTACAAGTTTCTTATTAGCCACTATTTTTAAATTCTTTGTAACTAATGACTTTGTTTTGAGTAATTAATCTGATAATGCTCTATTGCTCAATTAAAAGTTAATAATTAGAACAAGGGTTGCTAAGTAGTGAGACATCTTTCTGACTGGTGTTAATCCATCTCTCACAGGACACTTACTTTATCTTTTTAGCAGCAGGGCATTTGGTACACAATCAATTTATTAATTGATTATCAACATTTACAACAGCAGAATGGATGAATTATTGAAAAAAACCCACTTCTTAACATATACAACTGCAGATGACTTACATCGTTTTGCTAATGGCTTATAGAGTTGAGAAACTTCTGACCCTTAATAAATGACAATTATCGTATAACTTAAAAATGTACGTTTAATACTCCTTATTAATTAGCTATTAACATTCATAACTACAGACTTGATTGATGAGAAATTGAGAAACTCATGACCTTTTAATAAATTACTCAACAGAGACGTTTCACAACCTAGCAACCAAAATGATGCTCTTATGAATTAACTATTACTAATTTATTAGAAATAGTTTGATAACCATTATTAAAGCCATTAGTTACAACTTAGATACAATTTAAAGTAAAAATGTGCCTCATAAGTTAAACCACACCTTGAAAGGGAAAGTGAAGGTCATGATGACATCGGCAACCACAATATTCTTCAGGTATATTATGAAGTGAGACTTCGACGGGATGCGAAAAAACACCCACGCAGCCACGCCGTTGAGTAAAAGCCCCAGCAGGAAGAGACAGGAGTAGAAAACAGGGAAAACCACCGTCTTCAACACGTTGTCCCGGGAACAAGTGTTGTTGGTGTGGCTTTGATTGCCAGGGAACAGGGGATACGTTGTATTTCCCTCCATGTTATCTAAAAAAATACAAGAGAAAGTTCTTCTTAAAAACAAAACACAGAAAAAAGCCACATGAACCTTGAAGTTAAGTCTGGTACGCTCATGAAAAAGTGAGTCCGTCATTACAGTTATGTTCAATTTGTGTTAAGATGTCTCATAATATAAAAAAGACCTAACAATATAACATTATAAAGCAGTATTTATAGCTGTTTGATTACATTTACACTATACCTGGTTTTCATGTCTTTATGTAAACGGTACAACATTTGCTCAATATGTAATTTATCCCGCTTTAATATAATAAATACAATTTAAGAATTGTAACTGACCTGTTAATTATGCTGATATGTCAGTGGAGTCGAATCAAAATCCCAGTGCAGTTCTTGAGTTCCTCTATCTTTTATATGTGATACTGTGACACTGACCATCTGTCTTGTCCAGACAGTTTCAATGTTTCAAGCATGTGTGTGTGTGTGTGTGTGTGTTGGGGGGGGGGGGGGTGTAGGGTAGTGATACATAAGTCACAGGAAGACTTTCTCTTTTCCTTCCCATTTCTGCTTCCTGTCACGAGGAAAGGCTGAAGACAACTTTTCCAGATCTATTTTAACTGGCACGAAGACTTCAGCAGAGTTTACTCTATTAATGTGTAGCAGATAAACACAAAGTTAAACCTACATATTAGAAACAGCAACAAGGCACAAACCTACAGCATCGAGCTACTTTAAAGGTCACATTATCTTCTGGGCTATTGTTGCATACATGCTTTTATGATAGACACTCTAGTGTTGACATGCTTTTTTGAATAAAGCATTAGGAAATATGTGACCCCCCCATTGATCTTTCAAAATGTATTTTAAGTTAATGTGTTTCCTCTTATTCACTTCTTCTACTTTTGAAAGCATTATTTCGTAATCTGCACTTCTGCATTGTTTTTCATGGTGTCTAAATACCCTTTATAATTATTTTTTTATGTTCTTATATTATACTATACTCAAAGGCATCTACCTAAAGACATGTACAACCTGAGTAGAATCATTTGGTCATCTTTGAATGTTTCTTATTATTGGATGCATTGCAATCAAACTAATTTGGTTAATTTGGTCATTTGGTTCGTTTAAACGTGCTGCATTATATTGTGATGTGCTGATTCTAGATATTAAAAAACAGGGGAACTACCAAAGGTCAGGGTTATGCAGGACAAAATGGATTTGTCACATAGTGAGTCATTGAAAAACATTATTCTCTTTACAGCAAGCAAACACTCGGAACAGTCTCAGGTGACCAACACAGATAAAGCATGAGACTTTTGATACAATACAACGCAAATATACAGCATGGAAACGTATGGCAGTAAAACCTTCTATTCCAAGGTGGAAAAAATATGAAACGGATTTTGGCAGATGCTGCACTGATCTAAAACGTTCCCCTTGCTCCCATTACCATTCCGATTTTTTACTTTTTGCCTTCCCAGGTCATGCTGGTTGTAACGTCTTCTATCAAGGGGTCTCTAAAACATTTGTTCCAATTCAAAGTGGTTTCACACATCCTCTCTTGGAGACAGACCCGAAATGAGGACAAAGGCAACTTTGTGTATGATCTTGTAAAGACACACAGTGGACGTCACGTCAACCATCACGGTGAGTGTAAAATTGCTGCTAAAATGTGGCAGGAAAGTCAAGTGTTATGTTGCCTCAGTATATCACATGACCCCGATGGCCTTCTGCCCTTAATTCTATTGAGTGCCAACAGTTAACATGGCAATGCTGCAACTTCCTGTGTCTGAAGCAGGAATGGCAAAGTCAGCAGCATTCACTTCCTAAATAAATGCTTATCTAAATGACTAGTCTGTACATTTGCATGCTCTTGTGGTTGTTGTCACATATAGCTCAGGCTAAATTTATTCATATACACCTTACGTGAGGTCAATTTCCCAGTCCTCCATATTTACATGCAGTCATGTTTCCCACAGCTGTGATCTGCACATTTGGGTCTGATCAGGCCTGCGTCAAGCATGCACTGTCTTGGAAACAATTTTGGTACAAATGTACACCTGGACTAGATGAACTGATTAGAATTTGATGGTCAAAGGATCACTGTCACCGCAAGGAACACGTTTTTGGCCATAACTCGGTAATTCATATTCACACGAATGTCGAAAAGGATAAAATTATGAAGTTGTTGGGATCTATCAGGAGCGTGTTGGGTTATCAGCAAATATGAAAACTAAACTATTAACATCAATGGAGTTATTAATATCAATAACCTTATTAACAATTACTAATAATAACAGGGAACCACCCTGAGAACAGGGACCAATAACCAAACTATAAATTGAGTCTCAAAATTGGTGTTTACTCAAAATGTCCACAATCACACACAGTACCTACAGTACATGCACAGACTGCCACCAGCCAACAAATAAATTGCACACTGCATCGTACAACACACCTGTAGTCATCGTAATAGTGTACATAATATGTACAGTGAGAGTAGAGCAGCCTCATCAACATAGAATCATCATAGAAAGTACATGTTTACAGTTAAGATAAAAATCAGCCTTACAGGGTTAGGCTCCGGCTAGCTTGCCATTTAGGGCTTCGATGGACAGGGGGACAAAGGTAGTTCTTAAAGAGGTTGAGCCTGCACTGGGGGACTCTGAAGCGTCTGGCTGAGGGAAAAGGCGGTATTCAGGGTGGAAGACACGTAATTGTTAGCAGTGCTACATGTGCATTCATTAGTGTACAGGGTGAACAGGACTGGTGAACTGACGCACCCCTGGGGGGCGCCGGTGCTGATGGTCAAGGGCTGAGGCTGAGCTGAAATCTACGAACAACAGTCCAGCATAGGCCCTCGGATTCTCAAGGTGTTTAGTCACTAGATGCACTATACTGTTGGTTGCATCATCAGTGCCTCTCTGCTGTGTATGCGAAGTGATAAGATCACAATCTCCACCTCCACCAGCAGTGACTGATCTAGTACGGCATGGTTACAGGAGTAGAAAATGCAGAGTCTAACGGGATGCCCAAACAATAACACGTTATAAACACTACAGTAACTTAAACAAAACACGCTAAGGAATGAAACACACTATGACCTAATTATGACCAGACACCGAATAAACTCTTACTATGAGATGATTTCGTTGCGGTTAGTTTGGTCGTTTGAGTTTAAGGTGAAACTCAGCTGCGCGTCTTCAGCTTTGCGCAATCAGCCTCTGTCTCGGCAGAGAGGGGGCTCTTCGGCGAAAAAGGGAATCGTCTTCCTTTGGCCGGCACTGTAAACATTAATGATGAGAGAACTGGTCGTAGCAGGATGAAAAACAAAAATATAAAAACACAGTCTATGTTCTTCTAGCGAATTTTACTTATGACCTATAGGATTTCTTGAGAAGCAAACGTTTCCTTGGGGACCTCCTGGCAGCACGCGAGCTCGGACAGAAAGGGGCTGATTTGAAGATCGCGCTTTTGGTTTTATCAAATGTGTGCCCTCAGGACATAAAAACCCTTTTGGCCAATGAGGGACCAGTATTAAGTTTGGCTGGACCTCTGAGGTGTGGCACATTCCTTGGGCCATGAGTGTCCGTCCTATCTATGAGGATCAGGCCTTTTGTTGAACACCAGGTCAGGGTCTTTCCCTTTGTTTAAGTACACATGGTCAGAATCCAACAAAGTGATGACAGTCTGGACAGACATGGATGTAAACCGTAACTTGACTGGTTGCCACAGGCATTCAACTCCTTGTTCTCCTACCTCTTGTATTGATTTTCAAAATGTTCATGAAGGATTTTACAAATGCATAATCAAATAGTGTGTGAATGCAGAGTTGCAGACTCAGGGAAAGCTGCACTATATTCACACACACATACACACACACACAGTAATCCTCGTCAGCTCCTTCTCGAACGGACAGGGCGAAGGGAATGAGGGAAGGAAATAAAAAGAACATAACTGAGACTTGACTGAATTACCATTTAAACCCCTCCAAGCCTCCCCAACACTCCCTCCTATGCTTTTTCTTCTCTGTAGCTGCGCTACTATTCTCACCTCCCAGGTCATCCCTCGACCTTTAAGTCATCACTCTTACTTTCTACCAATCCCAGACCACAAGCCTGCTTTAAGACAGCTACCGACTTTTTCTCATCCTGTGGTGATGATGAAGCTGGAGAGTAAAGGGGGTAAACGTAATAGCCTCTCTGTGCGTGAGGTATTGCTATAAGTAGCCCTGCTTTGAGCAAAAATGCCCTGCCTTTAAGTGGCCTTTGGAGGGTCTGTTATCACAGCAGGAAGTGTGAGGTTTGAGGAAATGTAACAGAAATAAAGCTTGGTGTTTGAGGCCAAACATCAAGCTAATAACAGACACAGAGCTGTAACAGCTGTGGTCTGAAAAGCCTGGTTGATGCGGCTGAACTGTGACCCCTGAACTTTAGAAACAGTGGTTGATCATGTAGCCTTCCTGACAGGAAGACGGAAGACAGGAACTTCTTACCACATAGAGAGAGAGAGAGAAAAAAGAAATATATACATATGCAGGGTGGTCCTACCTTGTGGGTTGTTTGTGACTGTCTTTGTCTTTAAGTATAAATGTTTACATGTATACATTTCCATTGGCATGCTCTAACATTAGCTTCTACTAGCATATACGAAATGTGTGGGCCACACTTTGTTTTGACAGTGTAAGGTTTTTTTGGCTACTGCTGCTGGTGTGCTGTCTAGATTCCAGCAGGTCTGCCTCCCATATGGTTATCCACACCGACAAATCTAAAGCAGCTCATATGGAGGTGAGGAGAGAGAGCTACAGTAAAATTGTGAGAGCTACAGTATTTCTAACGTTTATTGAGGATGAAACCACATTTGCTGTCATGCACCATTAGGGTGTAAAGTATCCTTCCACGCTGATGATAAATAAAAATGTATTGAAATGGTTCATTTGTCCTACTATAACTGTTTTATTTATTTTGGAGCTTTGTGAGGGCTCTAAATTGGTAGCTTCTGACTAAAGTTCATTCCGTCATTTCTCATGAGTCCCATGTGTCCAGGATGGATGTGTTGACGTATTGCACCAAAACTGCACACACACACACACACACACACACACACACACACGAACATCAGTGGGTCCAGCTGGCTCCTGGACTTTAGTGAATAATGTTGTTGATTGATTCCATGAGCTCCAGTTTGTTGCTCACATAGATGTTTTCCTAGCAACTGCTCTTGTTTAGGTATTACAAATCATTGCTCATCTCTTGGGTCTGGCATATGCATCAATGACCTACTAAACACTACCTGACTTACACAAGGGATGGTTTCACAAATGCATCCCTTAAGACTAACTTAAGATTTAATGGTAATTGTGTTTACCTTATGCATCCACGTTGAATACAAAATTTTGTCATTTTGAAAAACAATTGAAGTTGCGCTGTATTTTGAATCAATGTAATATGAAAAGTGTCCCACATCTATCACCCAATTTTACAGTTCTCCTCAGGATTTTTTTTTATTGTCTTTCCGCTTATTGTTTTGGTTTTACAGCCTATAACTTTATTGTTGTGGCTCACTATCAGTGTCGTTTTTGACTGCAGGAAGTTGCTCTTTTCAGCTAAAATGTTTTGATGAACCCACTCTACGCTAGCTGCTGCAGCTCCAAATGCCAGACAGACAAAGTTAGTGATTCGCTGGTGAACATAGTGGAGTATTTAGCATCTAAAGAGCCAGATATTTCCCTCAGGATTTGGAGGAGACAAAAATAGAGCATTGGACAAACATTGGATTTCAATTTGTGAGATGGATAAAAATTTCAAACGATCTCAAATGAATGTTAATCTGTGTCTGTTAGATGTTTAACTAGGCAACTCTTTCCAAACAAATTCACCATATCAACTTCCTAACATGAGCATATTTGTGTTTGCACCATTTTATGCTTCCAAGTAGCCAAACAAATCAGTTAACACAGGTAAATAAATCTGTAACGGTGTGACAATTGTCATGGTAATTTGTGTGCATACGCACTAAACTTTTTCAGTGGCAAATCAGCTCAAAGCTCTACTATACAGTGGTGAGGCAGGAAGATATCAGCTTGGTAATAGGGAAAAACTCCATCTGCGACTACAATAATGCCAAAGTGGGAACTCTTGTCAGCATTCCTTCTTTAAATTCTCATCCAGGGTGTTGATATTTGTTTGATACTCCCTCGCCCTGCTGCATGAGAAAGCAGGATGCAGAGCTGTGGCATGAGAATCAGAAAAAAGGGGATCAACAGACACCTTTGAGAGGCTGGCCTGTCTGGGATACCAGGCATATTTGACAGGATATCTCTGTGTGCGCAGCAGAGACCTGTGTGCACATAGAGGGCAGTAGGTAGGTCAAAGGACAGGCCAGAAAGTGTCAGCTACAGTTGTTAACCACAATGGTGGGGAATATATGTTTAAAAAGGTCAATGTCATGTACAAACAAGGAAAGAATGTGCTGCTCTTGATGCAAATGGCCTAAACATAAAACCTGCTTTCTTCATGTGCAACTAAGGGCTATGCCCTGCTAACGGAATTCTAAAAAGCCCTAAAAAAGAAATGTCTTACATGCTGGAAACACACATGTGTCGCTTGAAGCAAAGATATCCTAAACTTTTTCTGGTCACTGGATATAAAGTGATATGCCAGAAAACGAAGACTGAAAACTTTAGGGAATATCTAGACGAACTTTCATGATCCGAGCAGCATGACTTCAGCAGCAACCAACTCAAAGCAATGATGAGGGTCTGTTTTTCCTGTGATGTCATTGTGGTATCTGAGGTTGCTAGGTGCCATGAAGACATTTATGTAGAGCAGAAAAGCTGCAGCAGGTGGTCTAAATGATGTCATGTAAATTGATTGACTTCACTTGGTGTGAAACTAAACCTGTGAGTCTGTTTTCAAGTTTAACAGAGTGACGCAAGTGAGTCTGTTTTAGTCAATTCGACACTGGGGTATTATCAGCATAGATTTTCATATTAAAATCAGAAATGTTATTTAATCTTTTGAGTTTTTTAGAATATCATAACAGATACCATGATTAGAGCTGCTGATGCCATCTATTGGTAGCATTTCAGGATGACACAATGCGGGCTCATAATTGCTGATTTGAATGAATTGATTTGAGTATAATTATGAAGATGAAGTTGACAAACAAAATCTAAGTTGTCGCAGATTTTTACTTTGTTCTAGATATATACAAGTTCAAAGATGAAGTGTGAATATGTCAATAGATGGTTAATATATTGTAATTTAAAGTAAACAGATACTTAGATTGACAGCTACAGTTTACATATTTATAGCAGTGATGGGAAATAAATTTCGACCAGAATGTCTCTCTAAAGAGCATGCATATAGGATGAGAAGGCTCTTTTTTTTTTTAGAGCTGTCAGACTCCTGCTGTCTCCTTTGTTATTCATAGGTGTTTAGTGTTTCCTCAGACGTGTTACAGCTCCTCCAGACTGCATCTAAATTACACATTAGCTTTACTTCAGAGATGGGAATTCATTTTCCAGAAGCACAGCAAAAATGCTGACAGTGAAATTGTATCAGTGACGAATGCTATTTGTGAACTCTTGACTTATCTTTCACAACAGCCATTCATCTTGAGCTTTGTCTTCTTGCGCTGGAAACAATGAGATTTAAAAAGGAAATATGGGAAACCAGTCAAACAGGAGAAAAACAGACAACCTCATTCCCACAACCAGGGGCACAGAGAGGAATATAAAATGGTTCCCTCGTCTCAATACAGATGTGGGCCTCAATGAAAGCTAATGTGGCAATGTTAAAGCTGAATTACATTAATACTAAGTTCCCAGTGAGGTTCTGCCCCTAGACGTTTACTTACCCTTCACGGCCTTCTGACTTGTGTCAGTGACATTTGTGATGTGACATACATCTTTATTAATTCATCACTGAACCTGGAAAAGCTAAACTTGTCAGACAGGAACATCAACCTCTGCTGTAAAGTAGCAGTGCCACATTGTTGATGCAGCCTAATTGGGTGAGCTGGCTTGTTTAAAAGCTTTCCCCCCCTTTGGGACTCAATAAATTAGAAGTGCTTTGATGTTTTTAGTTTGGTGTTTGTGTAACTGAAGTGAGGAAGTTTAGGTATACGGTAGTGGGCTTCACCAGTCCACCTGGTTATTCTCTGGGGACCAAAGGACCACATCTGCACCCGATCAGATCGGAGAACTCCCGCTGATGTATTTCCATTGCCCTTAGGACAGAGACTGAGGTTACATGGTCTCATCAAAAAGTGTATCCCAAGCCTTATAATTATGTGTGCCATGTTGGATCTTTTTTGTTATTGCATTTATTAGATTCCTCTTACATTTGGGGGTTGCAGTATCAACTTACTGGAAGGTTTGGACAATTTATTGATAAAGTCAGTTGATTTATGAGTGGCCCTTCGCCCCGGA